GTACACACAAGGCTATGTTCTACACTCAGAGCTTCAGCAACCCCCCCCCCCCCACTAATGTACACACAAGGCTATGTTCTACACTCAGAGCTTCAGCAACCCCTCCTAATGTACACACTAGGCTATGTTCTACACTCAGAGCTTCAGCAACCCCTCCTAATGTACACACAAGGCTATGTTCTACACTCAGAGCTTCAGCTATCCCGCCCATAGTACACACAAGGCTATGTCCTACACGCAGGCCTTCTGCAACCCCTCCTATAGTACACACGAGGTTATGTTCTACACCCAGAGCTTCTGCAATCCCTCCCATAGTACACACGTCCAGGCTATGTTCTACACTCAGAGCTTCTGCAATCCCTCCTATGGTACACACAAGGCTATGTTCTACACTCAGGGCTTCAGTTATCCCGCCTAAAGTACACGCAAGGCTATGTGCTACACTTGGGGCGTAATTGTTTCTCGCAAAAGCTGAAATAAGCATTGTTTTAAAACATATATCTGCCACAAGTCAGGCTGGGTGTTCTGAAGCTCTAACTTTAACAAAATGTGTTATCATACAATGGTAAGTGTTATCAAAGCAATAAACCAATCAGATGAACCTTGTTGAACGATCCGATAAATAGCCAGTTGACGTCACCAACGTTCCCCTATGTGACTAGATAGTTGTCTCCGGATGTGCGAGTTGAGGTGAATCTGGGTCTAACTCGCATCCAAGATTATTGCACTTATATAGCGAAGTGCATGCACGTGAGTCCGGACTGATGCCGATTTATAGAGCTAGCTCACTGAGATACCATGCCGCAGTTTAACATGAATACCCCACTCAGACACAGTATACTGACTCCGAGCAGACCAGTCCTTGTGTTAGCCCATTAATGCCGAGCGCCAGACAGGGTAACAACAAGTACCATCTTTTAACGTCTTTTGGTATGACACGGCCGGAGATCGCTCTCCGGGCGGACGCTCTACCACTAGACCACGGAGGCGGTCTCCGGAAGTGTGAGTGCTTATGTAAACAAATATGGCTGCCAATCATTTGGCACTATGACTGTCATAAATGGAGCGGTTCACCAAGACTTTATATAATCACGCGGTTCTAAAGTTAATGTAGTGAATAGCAATATGTCTTAAACTTCCATTATTTTAAGAATAATAAAGAGAGTTTTACCCTCGTGTTTTCCGCATGGTAAATATCATATAAACAGCTAATAATATCTATGTCTCAAACAAACACCTCATTATTGTATTCACTGAATTGACAAACACATCAAATCTGAGTGTTCCGATATTTCCCTGTGATAAGCTGTACGCAAGCGAAGTTATATTTGAAGGCCGTTACATGTGTATATGCTGAACGGATTCTTTGATTATTAAAATAAACTATGCTGACTTGATGAGTCTGAAGTCCTAAGGTATATGTACAAGTTCACTGTTGTCTGCTTATAAAAGTGCAATGTGTGTGGCCCGAAAAGTATTTCTTAACAAAAGAAACGTACAAATTATACATTTAATGAAATGCGCAATTTTCTAAGTACTAATGACACATTTTGAACAGTTCACCAGGAAAGACTCTTATAGACATGTTGTGAAATACAGAAGCACACATGAATACGGAACGTCATGCGTGTTAATCATCTGTCACTTACATAGTTTCACAATGACTGGGCACGCTCGTCTATAAATCAAAGGCGTCAACAAAGTTTAGAAATTGAATGTTTCACAATAGATTCAGTTGTCATGGCAATGTTATTTAGACAGTGGCAAACACATGACGAACCGGGCGGAAACAAACTCCCTATCTGAGTCACAACAGATTTATTAATACGGTGCCCTTACAGTCTCATGCGAGTCTTGTCAGAACCGAGTAACGCGTCGCCCAGAAGAGATTTCAATATCCCCCTTTACATGTGTCCCGCAGTAAGTGCGTTTGGAATTCCTGAAAAAACTGCAACCACATGTGTCAATACACTTTCACAATAGTTTGGAACGCGGCCGAGCGAGGGCCGTCTGTCATTGAAACATCGACACCAGACGATCGTGGCCGCCATGTTGAAATTCAAACCCAATACCGGAAATGACGTAAAACATTTTCGAAACATTCGCCGTTGCTATTTCTGGCATGTTTTTTCGCTACATAATGTAATCCTATATACTTTGTATGTGGTTTGCATTCTATAAACCACGTGACTTTGATAACAGATGGGTATTTATTGACATAATGTACTGAATTGCAATCATTCAAAACAGATGGGAACCTTGAGACGCATATGATGATTCTGAGTAGATTGTCAGGAAATAAGACCGCAAATCAAAATTCTGGAAACTGGAAGATGTGTTGTTATAACGGTTACTCTAAGACAATGTTGGACGTTTCTTCCACATATTGATGGCACTTAGATATGAAACTATGACCTTTGTGTAAAGACCAGAAACGTGCGACCCCTGGCGGCGCTCATGCTGTATAACTCTGGCTAAAATTAGAAACGTACCGATAGTAAACCAGCGTATATACGATATCCGTGCCACTGTTAAAAGAACACAACATAATCTATGACCGCGGGCTAAAATGAAGATTGTTTGTCACAGATTGGAACAGATTAAGCCACGTTAAACCAGTACGACATATGATACTCGTATTGCTGGTTCATTGAGGGATTGATAATTGTCAATATTTTTGGGGTGTGTTAGCCATTCGTCAATTTCTTTTTTCAAAATCGGACATGTTTCTGTACTACTCAAAAGTACACCCGCCTTTTTTTCATATGACTATAGTTTTTCTGTCATGGCCTTCAGGTGTTTTTTTTTACTTCTTTTGTGTGGTATATTTGACCACCCGCAAGTTTGTGTCCGATTGTTCACCTCACGCCCAAAAATATATTAAATGAAACTATGGCAATTCATAATTTTGGATTTACCGAAAAAATATATTAAAAATGTTGTCATGAAATGTATACTCCTGTAACTGAACCTATCGATCTGTGAAAGTCAGTTAGTCCTGAACTATAACGGACGATTACTTGTGAGGAAATAACGGACGATTTCTGGTGAGGACATAACGGACGATTACTGGTGAGGAAATCTACATGTGTCTTTACTGATATTACTCCATATCCGTTCACTGACGTATACACCATCCGGATCATCGGGTTTCTCAATACTATGAGCTAATTGTCACCCAAAAACGTCACCCACTAACGGATCCAGAGGTATGTGGGGTAGGGGATGCGGGTCCCCCCCCCCCCCCCCCCCCCCCCTTTTCAGACACCTCCTTACATGTTGACCGCGCTGTGTGCCATGCCACTTTTTTCAAAACCTGGATTCGACAACAAAAGGGAATTCTACCTGTTTCGGAACATTTTAAATGTTTTCCATTATTTGATTACGTTTCAAGTATTTTAACATAACATATTTGAATTTAATATTTTTAGGTTTACAGGTGCATATTTAGGTACAAGATGTTTGTAATTGTTATGTTTCACTCATGGTCGAGGTGGATATGTCTTCCATTAGCTGTCAGTTTGACGGCACGGTGTTTGAACAAGAACTTGAGTCAACATGGCATTCGCTGGCCGCGCTGGTGTCTAACATCCATGGCTTCACCGTTTACACGTGCATCTTGGAGGCAAGAAAACAACGTGATCTTTCAAATGCTGTCAAATGTGGGACACATTCCCGATACAGCCTATCTCCATAGTTCAGCGTTGTAATGGCCCCATTGCGCATCTCATTGAATATAAAACGTCAACGTCAAAGAATAATAGGTTTCGATAATCTGCCGAAACAGACTCCATTGGTCTAAAGGGCACAATAGTGGTAAAAATCATGAATGGATCACTGAAAATCAGTGATAACACCAGGTGTTCGCGAAAATGGTAAACACGCCCTGTCTATTCGTAGCACCTGCCATTCACACAATTTACATAAAAATGTAAGTATTTGTTATTTGCCCGACGCCAAACAGCAGTTCCCCTGCCATCAGACGAGGGTCTTTAAACAATTAAGTCGACCTGGACCGGACAATAAAAAAAACCCAAAGAAAACCGACCCTAAGAAAATCAATGTTATCTTCTGCTTAAACCTTGATCCGTTCGTGGTGTATTGTCGGAAGGAAACCCTTGTCAACTCAACATTTGGGCATGAAGGTAATCTCACGTGTTTGTTTCAAATAAAGGGCTTCATCGTCCAATCGTTAATTGCTGACTTTTAAACATCCTTGACAAATATAGCATCCGAACAGTGTCACCATGGAAACAAAACTTTATTCAATGAAAACACACTTTGTACCATAACAAGAATCTCCACAACGTGTCTGACCCTGACCTACGGTTGCGGTTTGAATCTGATGAGGCACAGGTGCATGACCTCGACATATTGTTCTGCGATTCCAAATAAGAACTACGCATTGTGTTATTTCATTATTTGATTAAGAAACTGTTTGACACATTGAGCTATTCCCTTTACTTACGCCATAAGGGGAGACAACTTCAATTTACGGCTTCATTACCTTACCAAGTCGCCCACACACTCACAACTCCTACCACGCATTACCTTGTCAACATGAACTTGTTGTTATACAAGTTGCATTTCTTAATTTCACAATCACAATGTAACACGAACCATAATGGTAGCACCTTTGAAACCACGGAACTGACATCATGTAAAATGGGAAGCAGTGTTGCCTATAAATTCATTTAAAAACAAATTTTAAACTTTCAAATTAAATCACTGATTGAGATCGATTTAAACATCTTTCTTGTCATGTAATATATATTTTCAAATAAGAACCCAGTAAAGATGCTGAGACAACTAAAGTAAATCAAATAACAAAATCTTAGATTTAAAATACACAGACAAATAAGCATACGAAATGCTGAAAAAAAAACTTAACATGCAAGACACCTGACAAGCACAAGAAATTAACATACGTGCAAAATTAAAATCAAATTAATCACATAAAAACATATTAAGATCGTAGGTATAAAAGAAGTTTGACTTACAGCCATTACTAGAGTTGTTTACGTCCAAACTGTGAGCCAAAGTTCAAATGGCCACCTTCACTCCTCCTGTCGAACCGAATACTGATTCTAGCGGCCCGCCAAAAGTGCCCGCAAAACTTGTCCCGGAAGTAATTGCTCTGAGCATGACATTACTGGAACCATATGACAGGAGTGCTTTGGCCAGACGGATAATAGTTCTCAAGTTCAAACTGTTTTATTCTCCTGTTGGACTGGACCTGATAACTCGTATAGCAACGATCAACTTGGACGGGTAGAAAGACAAAAAACAGACACCAAGATTAACAGAGACCAAAATTAAACTTAAATTTAAATATCTCGCATAGAGTTATAATTAATGACACAGATATATAATGTTAATTTCTATCGAAACATGCTATCCCATATGATATTTACATGGATTTTCACACCTCCTTACTCACTGGCACTGAAAACGTTTCGAGTGGTGGGTATTACCAGTAGCAGAGGACATGCTTGCCCTTTTCGCGAACACTTGGTGTTATTTTCAACTGATTTTCAACGATCCATTCATGTAATTGTCACCACTATTTTCCCTTTTACGCCCAAGGGAATCTGTTTGGTAAATATTCTAGACTGATTATTCTCTGGCGTTGACGGTTTACGTTCTGTTAGTAAAGAAACTGACCCCTTAAGATCCGGAGTAGAATACGTTTTCAGCAACCCATGCTTGCCGTAAAAGGCGACTGTGGTAACCCTGTCTGGTGTTTGGGGATGAAAAAAAAATACTGTCCTTACACTGTGTCTGAGTCGGGTTTCCATGTTAAACTGCAGCATGGTATCTCTGTGGGCTAGCACTATGAAACCATTAGTTTGGACAAGTGCAATACTTGACTTAATATCTAAGGACCCCTGAAGATTCGGGGTAGAATAGGTCTTCAGCAACCCATACTTGCCATAAAAGGCGACTATGCTTGTCGTAAGAGGCGACTAACGGGATCGGGTGGTCAGGCGCGCTGACTGGGTTGATGCATGTCATCGTATCCCAATTGCGTAGATCGATGCTCATGATGTCAATCACTGGATTGTCTGGTCCAGACTCGGTTATTTACAGACCGCCGTCATGTACTGCTCACTCTTTACATACTCCCAGCTCGAATGTTTATATGTTTTATTCATTGCTTCATCCACATCGCAGGGGTTGAAAAAGTCTTTTAATATTTACCGGAACCAGGCTAACCGTCAAATATTACAAGCCGAAATTTCATAACTTCAAACACCATTGTTATTATTTCAAACTCCTTGAACCTTATTTCTTTCTGAAGTTCGTCAAAAGGTTTACCTTAATTTGCTCGTTAAGAATGAAGAATATTGTCTCCACGAAATAAATGTATTTTAGTTCCCTTCCTTTGAGACAACACTGGTAGGATGTCACTGAATTCGCAGAGGAAATATCACCGTACACTTTATTACACCTACCGGATGTCCTGATCCCAAAATAAATAAACACATTTTTTAATAATATCAATTTTTTTATGAAAATAAACTCAATAAAAAAGCTTAAAAGGATAAATTAAAATTTAAAAAATGAAACCAAGCATTTAAAAACTTGAATCTGATAACCATGTAAACACTTTGTAAACGCTCGATCGATTATTTTTGTAATATTTGACAAAATGGCACACAAAAAATCAAATTCAGTTGTATGATAATCAAAAACGACAATGTCGTCGTTCGGTTCGAATCTCATTCGATATGTTTGGAAATGGATTTGAGCACAAAACGCATCTTTTTCTGATTTTGAGATAATGTTGATTACGCGTTTCAGTATGCGACTGTATAACCAAGCTCTGATGCTATAGGGGCTGTTATGGCATAATTGTTAATGCGTTTCCCACAACGAAAAACATTCGGGTTCGATTTCCAAAACGGTTCTATGCATAACTCAATTATCAGAGTAGCGGCGCTTCCCTAGCCTTGCTCCAAGGCTGTACTGAAAGAAAGTCCTTGGATAAGTAGTAATTCTATCCTCCTAATAGGAAAGTCTAGAATGTAGTCAGTTAAGACACCAGTCACTAATAGGAACAACTTGTTCTTATTATTTACATAATCTAGAACTTATGATTTAAACAAATAATTATTGCCTTAGAGACTTGTGCAAGTCTAGCGCTTCCGTACCACTCACTTTATCCGCCCTGCAGGACCGTGGCGGACGCTGTGGCTGTCTTCAGAAAGATTCTCTCTAGTTCGTACCATATGGTGAACTGACAATTGCCCCGAATACAATGCCACATCAGGAATTTGGGGCGACAGATCCCAAACTGTGTTGGTTCCAATTTATTTTTGGAAGCAAACGTGAAATGTCACTCCCTCGTGTATCATCTGTACTGACTAAGACGTAACGGTCGACCAGTTTAAATGTTCACCGCCAAATTTGAACTGGGGCCAATGTATCCGACACGAGGCTGTCCCCTTGCATCTGTTACCCATATACGGACTGGATCATGCGTTATTATAACGGTGGACATCTGCTTCGAGTTGGTTTTATGAACTGGGCCTAATGATGGAGGCCTTCATATCCAAAATCTGATGCCAAAGTGGTGTGTTTTAGAATCTGCGTGAGTATATACTGGCTGGACTGCAACACACTAGTTTAAGAACGTAGCAGAAAGAATGCGCCTCTTACAAGATCGGCTATTTGCAGAATTATTGATAATTTAATTATCGGAATCCTCGTCTCCATCTTTTAGTTCAGAAACAGGTAATGCGTACCACCTTCATCTAACACGCTAACAAGGCCTGAGTTAACTTTTTTTGACAGCAGCGGGGGCAGATAAGATTATTCATTTCTTATTCTGGCTACGGCACTGCGCTAGCTAACACACTAGAAGTCTGACGGGGCTCAACAAATGAGAATAATATCTTTTTCTATTACTGCAGTATATCATAATTCTGTTCATTCTTCTTTTTCCTTTACCTGTATCATTATAACTTGCACTGATGAGCTGTATGCCTCAAAGTCAATACAAGAATTTGATTTTTAGAGTTCAATATACAAATAACAATGACAAAGTTGAAACGCAAAAGGTGGGTACTGAATACTGAATAGAGATGCGTTTGCATCTTGCATCATTTAAATTTTGGACCCCAAAGATGGAGGTCACGGTGCAGTTGACCATACTCCAGCAAATAGTTTTTGATGGCGACGACGTCCGTTAATGTGTCGTCGCATCCATCTGTGACCAAATCAAACCACTTGTTATATATATTTTTCGACAGCTTTTTTGTTGTTGCTTTAAGCCACACCAGCAATATTTCATCTATATAACGGCGGTCTGTAAATAATCGAATCTGGGCAGACAATCCAGTGATCGACATGCCAGATTCCAACACAAAGAAGTATGTTATTCTGACATAACTTGTATTGAATGCAAATGCAAATGCTAAATTTCTGCATCATTGAATTCACGAATTGGATTTGAAAATACTCTTGATATATCCCATTTGGATGACAGCTATATTACAACTGCCTTTAAATCAAATTCCATGCGAAAGTTGACACTTAAAACGGAAATCCTTTGCACACGAGGAATGCATTGAAGACTTGACTCATTGTGTAAAATAAACTTCCGTTATAAAAGGTATCCCTGCTCATTAACCTTTACCCCGAGTGTTAAAAAATGAGAGAGAGAAAAATAAACAGCCTTACCTTGGGTCTTCGTTGAATCTCCACTGACAATAAGGCGTAGTCTCGCTGTGTGCAGATGTCTATCGTTAGCCTGTTTCAGCAGTTGCAGATATATAGTTGTCCATCCAGTAGTATCTGCAAGACAATATCGTCTGCTCTCCAGCTGTGAAGGTCACGAGGTTGAAGTTGGTGTTTATTTCGATCATATCATCTTTAGTATCGTTTGATCATGTCGATCCTGTAAATGGTGGTTAGGAAGATACTGTTTTTCTATGATTTGTAGCACACTGCATTGGTTAAAGGCTCAATATGCAGTGTTTCCCATTTCGTCTCTATATCAAGGCGCAGCCCTATCTTGTAGCATTAAGTCTTGCAAACGCATTATAAGTCATAACTTACCAGTTATGTGCTTGTAGGTTTAGGTATTATTAATGTAGATACAACGTATGTGGTTTATGAAATTAAAATATTTAGTAAATACCAAAGGTTATTTTCAACTCAAAACTCTTTAACACGATTTACTTATTACCTTCTTGTTTTACCGGCATGGGAGGACATGTTTTCACTTTTCGCGAACACCTGGTGTCATCACTGATTTCAAGAGAATCAAGAATCTTTTATGAAAAATGAACTGAGCTACTTAAATAGACTGATTGCTTAGCCTTTATTTTGTTATTTGTTTGTTGCGAAGTTAATTAAACAGTTAAGGGACTATGGTTCAAGGCCCAGACGGTCCTTTCACACTGATCTCTGAAGTTTTGACGTTTTACGTTGATGCTGAGGGTTTAACAGACACAGCCTCTGTCTGAGTAGGATCATCACTGATCACCAGCTGGGTACATGATGTGGGTGGGCAGGTTATTTAATAACTAGAATCACAATTGCTACGAATGTCATTGACCCGGAAATAGTTTCTCTTCATCTGACGTTAAACTGTACAGATGTGACTGAAACTACAATGTAATTATCGTCTGCATCGTAATGTGTGTTTGTTTGTTTGTTGTTTAACCTCGCACTCAGCAATATTCCAGCTATATCACGGCGGTCTGTAAATAATCGAGTCTGGATCAGACAATCCAGTGATTGATATCATGAGCATCGATCCACGCAATTGGGATACGATGACATGTATCAACCAAGTCAGCGAGCCTGACCACCCGAATCACGTTGGTCGCCTCTTACGGATGTTCACGGGTTCTGCATCGTAATGAGCACTGATTGGTTTGTCAAACAGTCAAACAGTCACAAAGTAGCTTGCAATGTATACATACCATGAAATGAACATCAGATCCTCTGCATTATAGATGTGATATTATTTACGATATATTTATTTCTACTGGACCCATGGCTCCTGCATATATTTGCTATAGGCCTATGGCCTTTTCAGTACTGTAAATAAAGACTGGTGTGTCTACATTTTATGAAGCCATCTAAATATTATACAAGACAAGAAATCAGAGCAGAGAGGCTACA